GCATATTCTGCTACCGTCATACTATCCTGCTTCAACTCTAAGAATTCAATTTCCTTAGCGCTTCGGATATCTTCCGGAAAATACTTCTCCAGAAAACCCTTCCGAACCACCTCCCACGTAATGGCAGTTCCCGCAGCTTCCAATCTTTGGTGGCTGTTATCCCACCAAGCTTCAGCTTCACCCTCCAGCATGTGAGTACCAAACCTCACCTTTTGCTCATCACTACATTCCATAGTCCTGAAGATCTTTTCAATTGCCTTTAGCCACTTCTGAGCAGCTTCAGGGTCCAGAATTCCTCCTTCAAACGTTGGTGGCTTGTTGCTCCGAAACTGCGCCAAACTCCTGAATTGGGCATCTGCAGTTTGATTCTGATTAGCAACCGCCTGCACCATTGCTTGCATAGCAGCAGCCAATGCAGCATCGTTCCTTCCTGCCATACTGCTCAAAACAACAACACCAGGTTAAAAGATATTCAACTCCATCCATAAGGATAGACCCAACTCGACTCAACAACACTGGCCGGACGGACCGACCTGCTCTGATACCAATTGTAACACCCCACTTCCCAAAATCATTTAAATTAATAAACATTATAAATAAACAAAATCAGAGTTCCAATCTTCCCAAGTGGGATATCACATAAAAATCACGTTTTCTTATAAAAAGGTTTTTCTCCAAATACAGCGGAATAATTAAACACTAAAATTCTATAAAGGTTTGATACGTTTACAGGAAAAATTATAAGTTCAACGTAGAACAAATAAAAACGCCTAAGTCCCGTGCTACGTATCAGAGCATCCTAGACTCGACGGTCACACCGTAATCCAAGCTAGCTAAGCACCTGGATTATCTGTACTTCCGAAGAAGCACAGACCACAACAACAACAAAGGGGTGAGAAATAATGATCAGAATATAATGGTAATGTAATACATGTAAATAAGGTAGTACAACACACTAACACACCAAGATTCACCCCTAACAACACCATATAACGAACCTACTGTTCAAATTACAATATAACATATTATAATGCAAAATGCAACTCAACACCATGCATGCGGTACCGACTCGTTGGTTCATTCAATCGAACATGGATAGATCACTTACGCTCCTCCTGAGACATGATCTATCCCCCACCATTCTCCACAAAGGAGTACGGATGAATCACTTACGCTCCTCTTGAGACATGATTCATCCCACCAAAACACCATGATATGCACACACCAATGCATAACTAATATATTTAGGCACTCAACGTGCACACGATCCTCCTGATCATATCATCATACATCAATGCATATATGTACAGATATAACATACACCAACACCATATAAATCAACCAGATAGTAAACAAGTTCATACTTTAACACCAAGATATAAACATATCCCACCACTCGGGGATACACGATCCTACTGATAGCTACGTACATATACATCAACTAATTGTCCACCGACAATATCAAGGGAAACACATACTATCACCAGTACGCAAGTTAAATCCCACACTCACCAACCTTACAGTGCATCAAGGCCAAAGAGGTCACACAAGCCCAAAGCCCAAGGCCAAAACATCACAAAAATCACATTCTGGTTCTGCGACGTTCGCTGGCATTCGCCAGGCGAACCGGGGCGAACCTTCGCTGGCATTCGCCAGGCGAACCTGCTGGCGAAGCCCCCTTTTCAACTATCGTGCATTCGCCAGGCGAAGCATTCACTCGCCGGGCGAACCTTCGCTGGTATTCGCCAGGCGAAGTTCCTACCCTTTAGGTCTGGGACTTAATTCTGAAATATTCGCTGCCACTCACCTCAGCTCGCCAGGAGAACACTCGCCTCCACTCGCCAGGCGAAGCTTCGCCAACACTCGCCAGGCGAAGCTTCGCCAACACTCGCCAGGCGAAGCCCAGCGAATGCTGTGATTTCACCAATTTCTCACAGTTCTGCAGAGTGCTTTCTAAGCCAAATGGGTTAAACTTCCTACTTCCAATTCACCTCTTAACATCAGTACTAACAACATAGATATCATAACTTATCGGTTTCTAAACTACGTTCCCAATTCAACTCTTAGGCATTCTATCGATATCCCAAAGGGTCACACAAAATTTTTCCCTAAAACCCGTAAACCCAACCTATACGCCAAATTAACCAAAAACCATAATTCATCAACAATCAACATCCAATTATCAGCAATAGTCAACAATCACAACATATCAATATGTAATATCATATATCGATCAATCTCCTACGGGGTTAAGGACTCCCCACTACACTATACATGTATAAACCATTCCTAATCAGGTTTCTCCCCCCTTACCTTGTCAATTGGTTGATCGATGAAAGAACCCTCCAAGGTTTGGCCAATTCTGATTTTCCCCCTTTCCTTCGTTCTTCGCTCCCTTTTTCCGTTCTTCTCACTTCTCTCCTTTCTATCGTTCTTTTTCCACTTTCTCTAACTCCTCACAATGTATCGTAAAAACTACTAACCCCTCCCATTCTCTATTTTAATTCTCTAATCCCAATAATAATAATAACTTAGTAATAATAATAATAATAATAATAATAATAATAATAATAATAATAATAATAATAATAATAATAATAATACTATTATTATCTCACCAAAATAATAATAATATTAATAACAATAGTAAATATAATAAATATAATAATAATAATAATAATATTCCCACCAATATTAATATTATACACTATATTATTATATTCACCAAAACACCACCAATAATCCTCCCACATTAGGGACACCCGCCAAACATCATCAGATACACCCCCACCAAAGGGCACACCAACATATGATAATTAAAATAATAATAAAAATGACTAAATAATTAAAATGGGTGTTACAATACTCGTTTGATGATTTTGATCCCTTTTTAGGGTTTCCAAAATCTGTCCTTTTATGATGCTTATGGTGTTGGTTTTAAACATCTTTAATCCTCTTTTTTGGGTCTGGATTTGCTGTTCTTACATTATTTTTTTGTTTCGGAACAAGAGGATCCGCAGATTTGTTGGTGATGATTCACGTATTCTGTTTCGTTTTCGACTTTTGTGATTTTTTTGTATATCCAAATTTGATATGGTTTCTGATATCTTTGGATATATATTTTGTGTTTTTGATCTGGATATGGATTTTGTGATTTTTGATATGGATATGGATTATGAAATCTTGGATTTTTGCTTGTTGGATTTTTTGCTTAAAAACCTGTTTGATTGGAAAATCATTTTTTCAAAATAAGCTCTTTTTCTCTCTCTCAAAGAACAGAAGCTACCAGATGTTTGCCAAAGGTTGGAAAATGGAAAATCGGAGGCTGGCGCGACCTTTTTGTTGTTGCCCTCCCGAAATGCCCGATGATGATAATTTTCTGAGGGCTTCGAAATAAATAAAAAACCAATTTTCCGATTAACCGACTCTTAACTAATTTTTTCTGATGTCCTTTGGTTTTGCAGGTTCTGGAAGTTTTGGAAGTGAAGAAAGCTTGGAATTAGAACTTTTAGGGAAAATTTAAAATTTAGGATTCAATTTGCAATTTTGTAAAAATTCGGATCTTTGCTGTAATTTGACATAATGTACCGAAATTGATTCTTGAATAAAATAAATCCACTTTTATCGCAAAAATGAAATTTATTCCATATTTAAATTCCAATCCGTATCTCGTATAATCCTGACTTTTGTAATCCAAATAGACTCAACTGATACTCGCGATCAAACCAACTGATATTTATTAGAACTCTGATGCGAACCAAAATTTCATTGCTCCTCTAAAAATTAACTCCTAACCAGTAGAAAAAACGTGAAAGCGTGCGCTTGCTAGAATAAATTCCTTGAAACAGATTCTCGCTCCAATTCAAACCCACATCCATTCATATTTTAACAACCCTAACAATACGGTTATAAATCAAACGACACTCAAAAAAATCCATCTGACGACTAAATCCCAATTCTCAAATAAAGACGAACTATATCAAGAAGAATCTGACGTTGATACTATCAAGAAATCCAAACCATTCTTAAGGAAAACGCCTTATGAATCGAGAGATAGGAAACCCTAGTTGCTTGGGGAATCTCTGATAATGACTTTGTTTCGTAATCGTCAACAGACTGTGAACTGACGATACTTCTGCATTTCATGAATTAAAAGCGCACACAGTGTTATTTTCCTGCAAAAACAAACAGACTAAGCAAATCGGTTAGTTAAAACGCAATACAGAATAAAATGAAATGCGAAATGATCAGTGGTTTAAGGGTAAAATTTGGGGTATGACAACATACAAACAACACCATATGAAACAGGGATGAAATACAAAATGACAAAACATTTTAGGGAAGAAATTCTTAACTAATTAACCAATACATGGATGAAATTCAACAAATGGCCATCTTTTAGGGAATAAACGTACAAAAATTACAGACGCCATGAACATGGAACTCACTACCATTTGTGGTAAGCAAAGAATATGACCCATGACAAAATCAACAACATCCTAAACAAATTGACCTTCTTCCTTTTGTTTTCCAACTTCAATTTCATCTTCTATTTTTCCTACGTCTTTGATGATGCAACCTACAAATGATGTTGCCGTGTTACAGAGAAGAAAAATGCAACACCTGCGGTAGAGAAGAGAAAAAAAAGTGCAAAAAAAAAATTAGAAGAGGAAGGAGATGATACAAATAATAATTTTTTTTTTGAATTTAGTTTTCATTTAAATGACCTACAAAGCATTAAATCCACGTCTACTAAATATCTAAAAAAAAGAAAAATAAAATATCATTTCAAATCAGCAATTTTAGTTAACTCAATGTTTTTTTAACACTATTAGTGTTAGGGACGAAAATCAACCCAAATATAAGACATAAAGACACAAACCCAAAAAAACAAAATTATAAATTGAAAAATCATAAAACATAACTGTTTGGCCGTCGCGTCTCTCTCTCTCTCTGAGGTCTCTCAATTGGAACCAAAACACGTTTCGTTTTAGTCGGAAATGGAGAAATCTCCACCAGTGACCGATGCGATTAAAGAGATAAAGGTAAGAAGCAATGTTCATATTCCTGATGATCTTGCCTTTTCCATTCTATCAAAGTTACCTCTTAAATCCTTGAAGCGTTTTGAATGTGTAAGCAAATCATGGTCGCTCTTGTTTGAAAACCCTCATTTTATGAACATGCTTCGCAATCATTTTATATCTAATACGCGTTCTGATTATGGTGATACTTTTCTCTTCCTAAGTTCGGTTGATCCGCCTCTTTCACATGCCGCGTTCTATTTGCTCTCAAATGAGGGGTTTGAGAATAGAATCAAATTTGATTTGCCACCTCCATTTCAAGAGGACGATTCTTTACTTTACATTTTAAGTTCAGTTTGTATTAATGGTATTCTCTGCATTGGGCAAGATACTTGTAGAGGAAGAAGAATGGTAAATTCCTTCCGAGCTGTATTATGGAATCCGGCTACCTCGGATTTTATGGTTATTCCTTCTAGTCCTGATGAGAATGTACTACCATATCGGAGTCCATTTTTTAATTTTCATGGATTTGGTTACGATCATGTGAGAGACGACTATAAATTGATTCGATATATATCATTTTTTTCTGTAACCGACGAAGATGAAGATATGCCTTGGGAAGATAAATCGTATGAACCCTTGTTGATGATATATAGTCTTAGAAGTAACTCTTGGAGGATACTCGAGATCGATATGCTTGATATTCGTGATTTTGATTATGCTCTACCGGAGGGAGTCTACCTGAATGGAGTTTGTCATTGGTTGGGTACTAGAGATTTGTATGGGAATGAAGCTTGTTTGGTGTCATTTGACTTGAGCAACGAGGTGTTGTTTATGACACCTATACTATCAGACATAAATGAATGCTGTGAGTTCATATTTATAGGGAGACACTTAGTGGTGTTAAATGAGTCTGTTGCTTTGATCTCAAATTGTTTCAAAGCTCCTACTTTTCACATTTCAATTTTGGGTGAAGTCGGTGTAAAGGAATCATGGATTAAGCTCTTTATTGTTGGGCCCATACCTTCCATCGAATACCCCATTGGAGTAGGGAAGAAGGGTGACATTTGCCTCATACAAGACAACAAAGAACTAGTCTGGCTTGATTTAAGCACCCAAATAACTAAAGAGATTGGTGTTAAAGGAAAGTCATATGCTTGTCAGATTGGAATTTATAAAGAAAACCTTCTTTCAACTGGAGTATTTAATAGTTAGTTGTTTTCTTGTTTTCCTCCGAGAGCCATATGAGTACGGTCATTTGGATTTCCAGCATGTATGTCAAGTGGCTTGCCAACTGTACACTGCATAATTATTATCAAGTATATGAAAAAATTAAGAAGCCATTTGATTATATGTATTATGAATTTTGCTTTAGAGTATTTTTAAGGTTTCTCTTTCTATTTGCAAACTGGTATGATTTCTATTTCAATGGTAAGAATGATCCTTTTCCTTTCCTAAATGTCCTCCTATTTTACCTAAAATTTGAATCTATTGAGCAACATATCTCTTTTATAATTCTTCATATTCTCCTCAAAATATCTATGCTATTGTGTATAATATTGTGCTTTCCTTTAACGATCTATATAGTTTAACTAGGCGTGTTCCAGCTTGATGGCTTGGGCTTATGAAATATTCTTTGGGGTTTTGTTTTCCTTCTACAAATGATGAAGTAATATGTATTGTTGTTTTAGTGATGTCAAAGACATGTCTTCTAGGATGTTCACCAACCAACCAAGGATGAATGACTTCCTCTCTCCTCATTGGTCCTTACTCCTTTTTATAATATTCATTCATGACAATAGGATGATGGACCGAGCATTTTGTGATGGTACAAAAACATTAAGAATTTAAGCAACTGACTAACTATCCTAATTGTTAGTTGTGAAATTTATCATCAACTTCGAAGCTTTTACATTTCATGTTATCATCTGTTACTCTACCTATGGGATGTCCATATTTGATTATTTGTATTATTGGATATATTTTGTGATCTGTGAAGCTATAGGCATGTTGCAAATGATAATTAAGTAGTAGTTACAGTATGTTTTATCTAAACTTGATTAAAGGATCATACCACAATTTAACTTGAAAATAAATCATAACAAAGGAAGAAAATATGTTAAACCATGAAAGATTGTGCTGAGTTTTAGATCAAAGGAGAAGAGAAATGAGAGTTTGAATAGGATATTAGTGTAATATTATTTAGAATAACTTGATAAATAATATGATGCAAAATGCCTGAATTCTAGTTCTTGTTTACAATGGTACAAGATTCCCAATTCTAAATTAATAGGGAAATCAGGGAACACATCATGTAATAGTTAAAGTAAAATGAAAACAGATTTTAGGAGATAATCTAAGATATTCAAAGGTTTGAAGCTGATCTTATGTGATAAATTAAGACACTCTAGTGTAATATCAAGGATGTTATAAGATATTTTCTTATTTTCTTACAAAATGACAATCTGAAATCCATTGAAAAGTAAATCGTTTTAGAAGCTCAACCGTGTCCCAGAAATTGGTGCAAGGAAAGGGTACTAATAAGCTAAAACAACATGCTTTCTGAAGGCCATGCGGGTTTCAGAAAGAAACTGCATCAGGTACAAACTGATACAGTTGAAGATAGGAATTCCAGTGTGGCAAGCTTCAAAGTTGCAATGAAGACTGCCAGAGATGATTTGTTATCTCTAGAGAGTCCTAGGTGTTTGAAAGAAATACAAGTGCAAGAAAGAACTTGAAATGCCTAGGTGTTTGTCGAAGCAACCTGATGGCAATGAACCTGAAGTACTGCCTACTGAAAGAGCTTTAGAATATGCGACTAGAAAACCATGCAAAGATAAACTAACTGCTACTGCAGTTGTAACTAATGGAGCGGCTGAGCATCTTAAAGCTGGGGAGGAATCCAAGGTTGTTCATGCATCTGACAGATCGGAAGCAACATTACGTGGTGAAACACCGGACAAAAGTGAGAAGTCATATGATGGCCAAGCTAATCCAAATGAACATTTGCACAGCATTGAAGCTGAAAATATTGACCCATAAATGATTCATAGTAAGGAAGTTACTTGTAGTTCAGCCTATAGCTGTCAAAACCATAAAGAACTCATTTTTAATCAAATCCTGACAAGCTTCTTAATAAATATTACATTCTACATCTTTAATTGAAAATCCTAATTTTAGCAAGTTGAGTTGTTGTGAGGTAGGTGCCTTCTTACTTTTCAGTCATGATTAGGCACATGGAGAAGTATTTGAATGACTATCTTTCCAGAGTACTTGAATCCTTTCTTACCCTCCATCTTCTCCAGCCAAATCACAAGATGCGCAAACTAAAGCTGAAAACCCTCATTTTATGAACATGCTTCACAACATTTTATATTTAATATACATTATGATTATGGTGATATGTTTCTCTTCCTAAGTGCAGCTGGTCCGCCTCTCACATATGGAGCATTCTATTTTCGCTCCAGTGAGAAGCTGAGAATAGAATAAAAATTGATTGCCACCTCCATTTCAAGAGGATTTTAGGTTCAGTTTGTATTATTGGTATTCTTTGCATCGGGCAAGATACTCGTAGAGCCGAACAGTATTATGGAATCCAGCTACCTCGGATTTTATGGTATTCCTTCCGGTCCTGATGAGCATGTACAACCATATCGGAGTCCATATCTTTATTTTCATGGATTTGGTTATGATTATGTAAGAGATGACTATAATCATAACAATAAATATAAAACATGAAATTCATTTCCTTTATTTATCAAATGATATTACATATTACATACAGATTACTAATGTCATATTATGGCTTCCATTTAAATGAACTTCCGCAATTGCCATACATTGTACAATTTGTGTAGTCATTTCCAGCATGATTTCTGCATATCCTAATCTCTAATAGCTCAGAGGAGCTAGGGGAACAGTGAAATTCTATCACAGCGTTAGTTCCAATTCCAATGTGCTTACCTATGGCCTTCTTAAAGTCTTCTGTCTTCTGATATTTAATGGTATTTGGGGAAAGACCATCTTTTTGAAGTATATCAAAAAGCTGTAACCCCTTCCAAATATTATTTGCTTGATCAAAATACTGAGTTTGGTTAAATGTCGAGTATGAGCAGGTTCCATGTTGAAACCACTCATGTTGCCAAAATATAAAATTGTCTCCTTTTAAATTTGGCCATGAAGTAGGAAGTTCAGCTAATGCTGTTGCAGAAATCTGATAAAAAACAAATAAATCAAGTCAAGTATAATTGAGTAGAAGAAAGAACAGAAAAAGCTTTATATTTATAATAAATAAACTCACCATGTTCTTGGTTAATTTTGTCTTGACTTGATCATTGGAGCACCTACGTGGCTCAACTGTTTTGTTTGCCGGCCACATGCCATGAAGGCTGAACCTGCTTGGTTTCTGGACACAAATTGTGCCTTTGATCCTGCAGTAAGCAGGAGGCCACTGCATTGCCATTATGAAAAATTCATATTGAGCAGCAGAGCTTAAAAATAAGGATAGAAAAACAATAAAACTTAGAAAAAGTTTGTTCATCATGTATTTGGTTGATGAAAGTTGGAATTATCAATTTGATGACATAACTTACTTTGCTAGGGTATTATATATAGTTGAACATTTTTTTTTTGAATATGTATAGTTGAATTATTATTTTTTTAAATAAGTATATTGAACTTTTTTTTGAATATGTATAGTTGAACTAATATAAGTTAAACTTATTTTTTTCTTTCTTTTTGGTCTATTCTAATTCTTAATAAGTTTATTCTTATTATGTATAAAGTTGACATATATTGAGTAAGATAAATTGTTTACGACTTACTATTTTTCACAATGGACTATATTTAGAGTGGCAACCGATCATATACTTTTAGTTAATTCATCAAGGATTTAGCATACACAAAACTTTAATTTCCAACATAGCATGTTCACAAACATGTAGTGTTGTCTTAAACTTTCTTTTTTTTAAAATGTGTTGTCTTAAACTTTCTTTTTTTAAAAATATATATTCTATGTAAACTTTTTCAAAATATGAAAAGAGCTGTTACAGGCAAAATAGAATACATATGAACAAGTAATTTTATTTCATTTCAAAATTTACATTTATTACATTTATCTTATAAATGTTATGTTTCTATACGTGGTTGGAGTATCGTGTCTTACAAGAATTTAATTTACTTTGGACAAATTTGTTTTTAAATAATGCCTCCAAAAATATTAAATGATATGAGAAAAATAGTAGAATGGGAGATATTTATCATTAAGAGAAATATATAGAAGAAGGTATACAATGACATTTACACAATTTGAAATAGAAAGAGCCGTAAACAAAAACAATTTTTCTTTATTTGGCAAACTAAATATTCCTTACTCTTTAAGTTTCTCATTCTCCAATATATCCATTTTCTCTACATATTGTGAAAATTTGTCTCTATTGATCACAATTTAGTATTAGAGGTTTTTTACAACTAAAACGATTTTTCTTTGTGTTAATATTTTAATTCTTATTTTTAAAAGTGCATTTTTTTTTCAAATTTATATTATCTTCAATTTTATTTCTTTCAATTTTTTATTTTGACAATAAAATTTGCTTTTTTCCTAAAAAATTCTTTTTATAAATATTAAGAATTTGTTCATATTAAATATACATAAATCCAGAACTAACGTGTTACATTTATTTATTTATATTTTAATAAATAAATATAAATAAATTTTATTTTTATTTTTATTTTTAATTTATTTATTTTAATTCATAATATCTTCAAATTAATTTATTTCGAAGCTTTAGTTGTTATTATCTGAATTACTCGTAGTTGTTTGTATTCAAGTATTATTTTGAAGTTTGTATTACTTTTGCCGTTGGTGCGTTTGATTCGGTTTCTTTTAGTGTGTTTTTGGCAGGAATGGATAGCATGACCGTCGCACCGCTTTCGGAGGCAAAGAAAAGTCGAAAAAGGGAAGTGAGAGTCACAACACGGGTACCCGTGTTGCACAACACGGTCCGTGTCATGGAGGACACGGTTGGCAGACACAGGTAGACCAAAGCAGAAGAATCTGGGAAACAAACGTACAACACGGGTGCCCGTGTCATGCAACACGACCCGTGTTGCAGCCCTTGTAGAAGAAAACGTGCCCTGAAGGAGTAAGCAGCCTGACACGGCCACCCGTGTTGCACAATACGGCCCGTGTCAGGGCCACTGAGAGTGAAATTGTTATATTTTCTGATTTTTTGCTGTCAGACCTATTTCGAAGGGCATTTGAGACATTTCGCGATGTAATTTGAATTTAGATATAAGAGCCACTTTTTAGAAAGTAGGAGACACTTTTTGAATTGAGACTAGGATTGACAACTGAGGAGAGAGTTCTTCTGGAGAACAAAGGATCGATCAAAAGCGGAAGCAATTGATGATCCAAGGGATCCAACTCGAATTGTAATGATCTTCTCCTTTTCATTTCTAATTGCATTTATGTTTACAAAGAACATGAGCAGCTAAACCCCAAGTTGTTAGGGGTGGTCCTAAGTTGCGATGTAATACCTTTGTTTGATTATTCTATGAGAATTATGTTATTCACCTTATATATTTTATTTTGCATCAATCTTAATGCGTATTCATATTGGAAAGTAGAATTCGAATTATGCTTAGGTTTTAGTCTGGAAAGTCAACCTAACACTTTTGCAAAATAGGCTCACGGTCGATATTGCTTAGGAATGAGGATATCCCGTATCACAAATTGTATGGTCGGAACTATTGCTTGATGCTTTTCATGGACACTGAGGAATTAGTGTACATGAAACTCATCAAAGGGTTTTCATTAAAGAATTAAGAAAAACTAAATTAGCCAACTGATGAATTAAGGTTAATAACTATTCTAGCAGGATAATCATACATGGTCTTTACTCGCATCGTATCCACTCCCCTAACACTGTTCTTAGATTGATTTATAAGTCTTTATGTAATTGTTATATTACCCTGCTACCAATGGAGCGGCTGAGCATCTTAAAGCTGGGGCAAGGTTGTTCATGCATCTGACAGATCGAAAGCAACATTACATGGTGAAACACCGGACAAAAGTGAGAAGTCATATGATGGCCAAGCTAATCCAAATGAACATTTGCACAGCATTGAAGCTGAAAATATTGATGAGAGATAAGTGCCACATTTTCCCTCAATGTTTGGAGATGCTTGGATAGATCCATGCCCCCTAGAATTCACAATCAAGACTCTCATTGATGATTTGCAAGTTAACAATGTTGCTGACTTTTTTTTCGTGCTATGACTCCTAATGTTAATCATCCACCATAGAAGGAATTTCTTGCGAGAATTGGAGCAAAATAATATTAATGAAGAATCTCACTATAACTTCAAGCAACCCCATATCAAGAGAGAGCTCAATACAGTTTACCAGCCACTGTGGCAATCTTTGGACAGCATCAGAGTGAATTTGAGTTGGGAATGAAGAAATCTCCACCAGTGACTATGGCGATTGAAGAGATAAAGGTAAGAAACAATCTTCATATTCCTGATGATCTTGCCTTGAATATGCATGGAAATCATGGTCGCATATTCGAAAACCCTCATTTTTTGAACACTGCTACGCAACCATTTTATATCTTATAAATATTCTGATTATGGTGATATGTTTCTCTTCTGATAAGTAGTGGTACTTGGGGAAAGACCATCTTTTTGAAGTATATCAAAAAGTTGTAACCCCTTTCAAATATTATTCGCTAGATCAAATATTAATTGTATTTAGTTTTCTCGACAATTATGTTTTGTTCATTAATAGACATTTCTTTCTCATTTCTCAACACTATGAAATTCTTTGGTTTTTGACAATAATTTTGTATTTTACGGGAACACTACCGGAAACACTAACCTAAAGAATTACCAACGGAGTTACATTTGTCAAACGGTAACCACAAAATTAAATCATAAATTCCTTTGAATTTCAAACAAACTAATTTAGTCTAATAAAAAGAAGAATTTCTATGAATACTATACCACTATTGTATGGTTATTATGCATTAAGAAATTTATATTAAATGTAATATTTTTTTAAATGAATCAATCAATAAAATCAAATATTTTATTATTTTATTTAATTAATTAGTTTAATTTTTTTTAATTTATCTCTCTATCAATATTTAATTTTTTTTCTATTTCAAAATATTAACAGACTATTTTTTTTCATTAAAAAATTTACGTATATCTTATAAATGTTTTAGTTTTTCTAAAAATTTAAATTAATTTTGACAATTTATTTTAATTAATACCTCTAAAAGTACATAAAATCATATGAAGAAATAGTAGTAGAATGGAAGATATTAGTCATTAATAGACAGATAGTGAAGAAGGAAATTTTTTATTTTAGAATAACTAGATTATTTAAAAAAAATACCAATTAAATTAAGCATTGAAAATAATTACGAAAATAGTTAGGATTTAATCTTGGATCGCCATTTGGATTGGCGAATCAGGTCATTTTCCACTCTGTCGTCATTTGGGCTGGCGAATTAATTTTTCAATTTGAATGGATTCACCAATTGGATTGGCGAGTCAGCCCATTTTATTTTTTTTCTAGTTAGGGTTTGGCTTTTTTGTATTTTTATTACTTATTTTTATATTTTTTTTTATTTTTGTTACTTATTTTTATATTTTATTTTTTTCATAATTAATTGAAATTTAAATAATATAAAAAAAATAAATGGAATAAATAGTAAAATATATTAATTTATACTAATGACGGCTCTATCTAAACGACCAACGGCACCACATTGTGGAGGATGCGCGCGGCGATGAGGTCCACCACGAGGTTGTTGAGGTGTGTCTGGTCTTTGGGTGTTAACTTGTGGAAGAAGTATTTGTTGGGACGACCCCGGCATATCAGATAAATTTTGAAGCATTTGACCCCAATAGCCGGGAGGTTCACTATCAACGGCGCTTCCGTAGTTAAGCCCAATGCCCATGTGTTCGTAGGAATGTCGGGGAGGTTGAGTGGAGTATGGACGGTATGGTTGTCCGAATTCATACATCAAATCGGGTTGAAAACGATGTGTTGGTTATTGTGGTGTTTGGTAGTCAAACAGTAGATAAGTGGAAGGGGTAGGGTCAAATGAGTTATTTGGGCTATAGGTGGAGGGGGTAGGGTCAAAAGACGTATCAGGGCTATATTGGTAAGGTTGTTGTTGTTGTGATTGAGTTGGTGGCATGTACAGGTCATGGTAAGGTTGTTATTGTTGATGTTGGGCATTTGGTGGCATGTACGGGTTATGGTAAGGCTGTTGTTGTGGATGTTGGGCATTGGGTTGTTGCTGTGTGTTTGAGGAAGAAGCACGTTGCCTGGGGTCAATCAAATATGTCGGCTCATACAGAAATGGTTGTGATGTTGTAACCGACCTAAAATAAGTCATATATTGATAACTTGGCCTAGCCCTTTCCACAATATGGTCGGTTAAGATGTGTTGTCGTTGGTTCTTCCAATGCTGACACATCTCCTTCGCAAACTCCTTGCAATGACCGACACTTCATTGTGAATCCACT